TGTATTTTCTAACGGACTTCCTGTCAAAGTGAGATAGCATACCTGTGATTTTACTAGGATTTAACTCAAACGACAGAGCAACGTCTCGTGGTTTTCCGAAGATGATCCCACATCTGTGCACTAGATATTGTAGGAGTGTGTGTGTGGACGATATGTGCACGCCGTTTTAAGTGCGTTTTGAGTTACCACAACTGGAGAACAAATACTTAATATTCCTGTCACGGTGAGGTAGCGTACCTCCTTAAGTCTTCATGACACAGTCAGTGTAGAAGACAGATTTTGTTTTATTTGTTTAGCGTTTTACAAGCTAAGTCGTATAAAGGCCAATAGATGATGGCACTACTTTGAGGCGATTTCACATCATCGATAACATCACAACATAATGACAATCTCGACACATAACGGGTCAACCATGTCACCTCGAGGTAACATATGCACTATTTCTAAACGTCAAATAAAGTAGCATACATCCTTAAGTCTCCGTGTCAGAGTAAGACCGCATATATCATGACACAGATAGGTTTATAAATAAATGATAATCATAAAATATAATTCCAAATTCAAAGTATTTTTTATCTACACACACGGACACCTTTCCATAAGTCATCCGTAAGTGTCCGGACTAATGTCTCCCTTATACTGACGATAAATGTTTGTAAATCAGGTGATTTAAAACTTCACACTTTCTTTAGTCTCGTGTTGAAAATTTCAATTTCATTTGCGTAGAAAGCTGTCATAGTGGTATTAAGTTAACTGCCCACGTGCCGGGAGATGAATTATGGTCACTAAAGAACAACGGCAATGTATTCTGGACTCGGCTCTAGAATGAATGTCATTCTGTTGTGTAAATAAATATATGCATGGAATAGAATGCCTTATTAAATGCACATATCTTATTTACATAATTATAAAGCGTGGCCTTCGTCAACCTTTAACATATAAACAAATACTGCGTAAGGTGAAGTTCTCTTTTTGTATAAACATTCATGCATGATTCGAATTTTAAATCTGAAATGTAAATTGAAGACCACGAAACAATACCTGCACGAAGATATAAGTTTATAACGATCCCTTTGTTACATCAACAGTGTATACAATACCGCAAAGAAATATTAATACAAATTTATTAAAACGAGAATCTCGCCACTGTAATCTTTAACCTTTCTTGTGGTGGAGAATTCTCGTCAGTGTAATCTTTTAACTTTCTTGTGGAGGAGAATTCTCGCCACTATAATCTTTAACCTTTCTTGTGGTGGAGAATTCTCGTCAGTGTAATCTTTAACCTTTCTTGTGGTGGAGAATTCTCGTCAGTGTAATCTATAACCTTTCTTGTGGTGGAGAATTCTCGTCAGTGTAATCTTTAACCTTTCTTGTGGAGGAGAATTCTCGTCAGTGTAATCTATAACCTTTCTTGTGGAGGAGAATTCTCGTCAGTGTAATCTATAACCTTTCTTGTGGAGGAGAATTCTCGTCAGTGTAATCTATAACCTTTCTTGTGGTGGAGAATTCTCGTCAGTGTAATCTTTTAACTTTCTTGTGGTGGAGAATCCTCGTCAGTGTAATCTATAACCTTTCTTGTGGAGGAGAATTCTCGTCAGTGTAATCTCTAACCTTTCTTGTGGTGGAGAATTCTCGTCAGTGTAATCTTTTAACTTTCTTGTGGAGGAGAATTCTCGTCAGTGTAATCTATAACCTTTCTTGTGGTGGAGAATTCTCGTCAGTGTAATCTTTCTCGTCAGTGTAATCTTTCTCGTCAGTGTAATCTTTAACCTTTCTTGTGGAGGAGAATTCTCGTCAGTGTAATCTATAACCTTTCTTGTGGAGGAGAATTCTCGTCAGTGTAATCTTTAACCTTTCTTGTGGTGGAGAATTCTCGCCACTGTAATCTTTAACCTTTCTTGTGGAGGAGAATTCTCGTCAGTGTAATCTTTTAACTTTCTTGTGGAGGAGAATTCTCGTCAGTGTAATCTATAACCTTTCTTGTGGAGGAGAATTCTCGTCAGTGTAATCTTTAACCTTTCTTGTGGAGGAGAATTCTCGTCAGTGTAATCTTTAACCTTTCTTGTGGAGGAGAATCCTCGTCAGTGTAATCTATAACCTTTCTTGTGGAGGAGAATTATCGCCACTGTAATCTTTAACCTTTCTTGTGGAGGAGAATTCTCGTCAGTGTAATCTATAACCTTTCTTGTGGAGGAGAATTCTCGTCAGTGTAATCTATAACCTTTCTTGTGGAGGAGAATTCTCGTCAGTGTAATCTTTTAACTTTCTTGTGGAGGAGAATTCTCGTCAGTGTAATCTATAACCTTTCTTGTGGAGGAGAATTCTCGTCAGTGTAATCTTTAACCTTTCTTGTGGTGGAGAATTCTCGTCAGTGTAATCTTTAACCTTTATTGTGGAGGAAAATCCTCGTCAGTGTAATCTTTTAACTTTCTTGTGGAGGAGAATTCTCGTCAGTGTAATCTTTTAACTTTCTTGTGGTGGAGAATTCTCGTCAGTGTAATCTATAACCTTTCTTGTGGAGGAGAATTCTCGTCAGTGTAATCTTTTAACTTTCTTGTGGAGGAGAATTCTCGTCAGTGTAATCTTTAACCTTTCTTGTGGAGGAGAATTCTCGTCAGTGTAATCTATAACCTTTCTTGTGGAGGAAAATCCTCGTCAGTGTAATCTTTAACCTTTCTTGTGGAGGAGAATTCTCGTCAGTGTAATCTATAACCTTTCTTGTGGAGGAGAATTATCGTCAGTGTAATCTTTAACCTTTCTTGTGGAGGAAAATCCTCGTCAGTGTAATCTTTAACCTTTCTTGTGGAGGAGAATTCTCGTCAGTGTAATCTATAACCTTTCTTGTGGAGGAAAATCCTCGTCAGTGTAATCTATAACCTTTCTTGTGGAGGAAAATCCTCGTCAGTGTAATCTTTAACCTTTCTTGTGGAGGAGAATTCTCGTCAGTGTAATCTTTAACCTTTCTTGTGGAGGAGAATTCTCGTCAGTGTAATCTATAACCTTTCTTGTGGTGGAGAATTCTCGTCAGTGTAATCTTTAACCTTTCTTGTGGTGGAGAATTCTCGTCAGTGTAATCTATAACCTTTCTTGTGGTGGAGAATTCTCGTCAGTGTAATCTTTCTCGTCAGTGTAATCTTTCTCGTCAGTGTAATCTTTAACCTTTCTTGTGGTGGAGAATTCTCGTCAGTGTAATCTATAACCTTTCTTGTGGAGGAGAATTCTCGTCAGTGTAATCTTTCTCGTCAGTGTAATCTTTAACCTTTTTAGTGCTGAACATGCTTCCGTTTACACATTGAAAAGATACCTTTTGAAAAATTCAACACAGCAGAACCTCGCGACCTCCAAATTAGGCAAATGTCATCCATCTTAACAGATCTTACAATCTTTCACCCATTCTAAAAACTACATTACTTGAGCTTAGGAATAAAGCTTGTTGAGAAGAAATCATTGATACATTTGACCCCAGTGTCCCTGAAAGGTCAGGGTCATTCAAAATGAACAAGCTAGATAGCAATTTACCCCGACATGTCACTAGGGAACCACGAATAGAAAAAAAGTATTTAGGAAAATAATAAACAATAACGTTGTATGGGCAAGATCTGAGCTTTTAAATGTACTTATTGAAATAAGTGAAAAAATCAAGAATGGGATAGTTGCTTGCTATCTTGTGATAGTAGACAAAGCGGAAACACATAGTTGTGTTGTCGACCTAATCAGACACATGTTAATCGTCTGTATCTTTAGTACATGTGTACTTATCGGGAGTGGCCTTGTACTTGCAAACAAAATGAAGATCAGGGGAAAAAGTAAAAAATGGACAATATCTGGGAAAGTGTAAAAGCAATTATATATGTTGAAAGGCCGTTTAGATTTGCGTTTGGTTAGCGACTCTTTTTCTACAACGTACAGAGGGCAAAGGTGGATGGTTCTGCTTATATTGACGAGTAAGATAAAGTTAGAGGTATGTGAAGTTATAAAGCACATGGCTGTACTCCGTAACGAGTTTTTGATATATTTGACTTGGCTGTTTTACATAATCCTATGTTGTCCTTGACCATTATTATTGGTTTACAAGTAGAAACCATTCTGGCATGTTTGTTTATAAAAAGGTTTCCTTCAACATTTTAACATTGCCCGTCACTCTTTGTTACCGCCCGTTAAAAAATATTTCAACTTTCAATATCTGAAACATAAAAGGGGTGGGTACCTTCCTCCAATATTTTTGAAGCCAAAATGTTATCAACGTATTTCACAGATTTGTTTTATTATTCAACAAATCGTGTACATTGTAATAGTATGGTGATTCGTGGCTTATGTATATTTTACATACGTGCAATATCTGAAGTTATTCGAACACGGGTGTCTGACGTCACACAAATAGGAAAGACTATCGCAGAGTGAGTGTTGATGCCCTTAAAACTGAACACAAAGAAACGACACAATCCATATATGTCGTACACGTGAAACATGCATTGGAACAGTTTTCCTAGACCGAATGAACACGCATTATACGTTCATATCAATAATAAATTGGTTTTATTTTTCATTTAATTGGTTATTCGTGGTTTAGATGTGGTTACAGAAATGTTGTGATACAAATGCAAACAGCACCTAACAAAGATCAATTATTGATGTTTTCATCATGAAATAGACATATTATGTCAGTTTCGATATCAGTAATGAATTAGTGTAAAATTATACCAAGAAACACACACAATGCAACGAGGAAACCCGATCGTTTTAATTAAATATTTGATACAATAATTGTCTGAAAACATGTCATAATTCTAAATTCCCGATAGTTTAATAATTCTAAAACGTCCAGACAGAATAATTAAGAATTGGATGTCTGACTTCCGATACAAGCATGCGTTACACAGCAAACATTGTCATCGGACAAAATCGATATTATCCATCAGAAAATGCACATTGTTTGATAGAAAGCATCGTAAATAAATCAAAATTAAAAATAGATAAATAAATTTAACATGTTTACTTACTTCATTGACACTTGTGATCTTCATTGGATGAAAGAGAGGAATTACTACGCGGACACAGGCAAGGAATACAAAGATGTACCCTAGGACGGGAAGCCATATAACTCCGCCAAATAAGTAGGTCTCTACCGGGTATCCCAGCATCATTATAGAGGACTGATTCGACACCATCAGGGAGATCAGAATCGGCAAAAACTTCATCTGTCTATTTCCGAGATGGAATTCTAAAGATGTCTTGTTTTTACCACCTGATACTGCATAGTATGTTCCAATGAGAATCGAGGCTAACATCACAAGAGCAAAAACAACAAAATCCACGGTAACAAATCCTAATTCCCTCATCTTTAAATGTTTTTTTTTTTTTCAGTTGTATGAAAAGTAATAAAATTAAATAGAATCCACTGTTTGTAAAAGTGTGTTAAATCCGGTGCATTAAAATCCAAATGGCACACAAACTCAAGATGTCCTGTGTAGGATTTCCAATTGCTACTAATGTCAACGAAATATACAACAGGTGTTAATTATATTAATCAATTAGTAACACCCACAAATTTGTACGTAGTCCAGGTCTGACTTTACCACTATCCGTGTCATCGTCTGCTGTTAAGCTCCCGTTTGAGCTGTCAGAGCATAATCTGTTCTCGGTGGAAACTATATATCTATTATCAATGGCTTTTGCGGTCAGCAAATCTACCCTAGTTTACTGGTGACGACATCACAGCGAGTCATTGATTGGACTTTCCTATAGGCACTTCCGTCCGTGCAGGTATAACATGTAGCTCAGACTGCAAACATTGCTGAAATATTTTATCACTAGTTCTTATTAAGCAAGGCAAAGATAACAGCACAATTCACTATCATTTTCTAGTTGTTAAACATGATCCTGCGAAAAATCCGTTCACACGGTTACATTTCATCTTTAAAAGAAATGATAACGAAACCGTCGGATTAAAATACCTTGTATAGTTTTTTTCTCAACTCCAGACCTGAATCTCAACTGGCAAATCCACAGCAGTGTTTAAAAGGCTGTTCAGCTCAATTTTAACGTCTTAATTGAGAATTACTGCCTTGTAAACTGGCAAGACGAGCAGTACCAGTATAATAGTTACAGCTACACAGTAACTTCTGTACACTTTACTCGCGTGCGGAAGTTTTTTTTCCGTGTAGCGCGCTACATTATGTGTATAATACTACATATAGACACAATACTTCTCAGTACCTTACAGAGGCCGTCTGCAACACGGTGTGGTTTTATAAAACTCCGCCACTGCTTTATAGGAGCAGGTAAACCAAACACAAAATGGTTAATATACATATAACGAATTCAGTGGTAAACATAACATCATATCTCAATAATATACGCTTTATATAATACATTGTTCGCTTTTGAAAGTGAAACTATTATTAGGCAGAAAAATACATCTAGGTATTTAATTATATGAGAAAATACAAATTCGACAGCAGCGAGTCAAATGATATTTAGCCAAGAGTAAACATATAGTAATTGTGTGGCGCTGTAGTGGAGTGGGTTTGTGTCACTAAACCAATATTGATACAGGGCGATTTTTAATCAGTTTTCTACACTATAACACACGAAAATGTTTTTTTTTTTATCGGGAATGTTTCTATATTCCCCTCTGAGAATTCAGTCTTGTAAAAATACATATACCTATATGCCTAAATAATATATTTGTAACCTTATATATACATTTATACATACATTTATACTTTGTATGTATACATTCCGTCCACCTGACGAATCAGATGACCAGTTTTCCGAGAAAAAAACACTTCGTCATCTTTTATATTCTCTCGGTCGTTCTTCGAAAATTTTCCTTCCTGGTTCCTGAGTCTCGCATTGAAATCCATCAAAGCACTTTTAACCTTTGAACTGACCCACATTTTATTCTCACATATCATTGAAATGATAGTCATCGTATTTGATATTTGCATTAGTAAACCATATTAAGTAGAACGCCATTATTCTGGTCAATATATTTTTCCTGTAGAATTGAGAAAGGTAAATCTTCTGTCGTACATCAGAATAAAGGCGAAGTCGTGAGATTTAAACTGATCGAAAAGAGAGATTATCTGTGCTTCGTGTAACAAGACATGATCACAATTAACAGAACAATACATCAAATAGAAAAAATCAAATGGAATCCAATATTTTGAATCAATTGAGATAAATATATAAAATATAATTGAATAGTTAAAATCCATGAAATTCTCACAAAAAATCAAATTGTGTTGTACTAGATTTTACAGTCAATTAAAACCCAACAGATAACTACACCTGAACGATTCAGCGTGAAAATAAATGAAAAAAAAATCGATTTGTGTGGCACGTACAACACTCCGAGTGTGATGAACACTCTTGTGAACTGGAAATTCATTTTTCATGTTTGCTTATCATCAACCAATATCGCATACTGTTATACCTGTATATTTGTCTGAGTCTTTAGTCCCGACTGTTTGTTTATATAGAATAAGCACTTGTATATTCCACAGTATTCAGTGTACTCACTGATGTAATATCATCTTTTTTCGTTTTTTTTATTATTTTTTTAATCCTTTTGTCGTAAAATGCAGTGTGACTAAATCGTTTTACAAGCTCACAATACCCTGCGTGGCTGACGCTATACAGACTAAGTAATGTCACAAAGGTATTGTCTCTATATCATTTCTATAAGATTACTCAACCCGGTCAAAAAAGACACATGCTTTTAGTTCTCAGTAACCAGTGTAACTAGATAACATATGATATGAAATATTTTAAAAGATTACTTTAAAGTTTCTACAATGAACCTGGACTTGTCGTCAATGACTAGACGCGTTCAGCGCCCGGCGTTGATATTGTTGCTATGGCAAGAGAGCATTTGGCGATTTGGAGTGCTATCATTTAATCCTTGTTTAGTGGACAGCTTTGTATACAATGAAATACAAAACATGGCGGTGATCCTACAGCAGACTGTACGATACTGTCCCGACCTAGCGTGTCAATATATACTTACGATAAAGTGGATATAGAACGCTTTCAAAAGGATCCATGTGGCTTTGTATGGAGATAGTTTATGATGTACAATATCACAAACATCGTGTTTTGTCTAGAAATCACAGTTACAGTGAAACAGTATTCTGTTTTGTTCTGGTTTCGTGTGATCAACTACCTTAATGATATGTAAAGTGAAAATGTTCAACTCAGTGTTACTTAAAATGGGATTCATCATGGGTTGAAAAAAAAATATTGAAATTAGGTTATTGTAGAAATTTTGTGAGTTACTTTCAAAAGACAGAATATAAAACATCACCAAGTCTAATGTAATAGTATTCGATAATTGTTCGGTATGGGTAACTGTTCGGTATGGATAACTGTTCGGTATGGATAACTGTTCGGTATGGGTAACTGTTCGGTATGGATCACTGTTCGGTATGGATAACTGTTCGGTATGGATAACTGTTCGGTATGGGTAACTGTTCGGTATGGATAACTGTTCGGTATGGGTAACTGTTCGGTATGGATCACTGTTCGGTATCGGTAACTGTTCGGTATGGATAACTGTTCGGTATGGGTAACTGTTCGGTATGGATAACTGTTCGGTATCGGTAACTGATCGGTATGTATAACTGTTCGGTAACTGTTTGGTATGGATAACTGTTCGGTATCGGTAACTGTTCGGTATGGATAACTGTTCGGTATGGGTAACTGTTCGGTATTGATAACTGTTCGGTATCGGTAACTGTTCGGTATGGGTAACTGTTCGGTATGGATAACTGTTCGGTATGGGTAACTGTTCGGTATGGGTAACTGTTCGGTATGGATAACTGTTCTGTATCGGTAACTGTTCGGTATGGATAACTGTTCTGTATCGGTAACTGTTCGGTATGGATAACTGTTCGGTATGGATAACTGTTCGGTATCGGTAACTGTTCGGTAACTGTTCGGTATCGGTAACTGTTCGGTATGGATCACTGTTCGGTAACTGTTCGGTATCGATAACTGTTCGGTATGGATAACTGTTCGGTATCGGTAACTGTTCGGTATGGATAACTGTTCGGTATGGATAACTGTTCGGTATCGGTAACTGTTCGGTATGGATAACTGTTCGGTATCGGTAACTGTTCGGTATGGGTAACTGTTCGGTATTGATAACTGTTCGGTATGGATAACTGTTCGGTATCGGTAACTGTTCGGTATGGATCACTATTCGGTATGGATCACTGTTCGGTAACTGTTCGGTAACTGTTCGGTATGGATAACTGTTCGGTATGGGTAACTGTTCGGTATGGATAACTGTTCGGTATCGGTAACCGTTCGGTATGGATAACTGTTCGGTAACTGTTCGGTATGGGTAACTGTTCGGTATGGGTAACTGTTCGGTATCGGTAACCGTTCGGTATGGATAACTGTTCGATAACTGTTCGGTATGGATAACTGTTCGGTATGGGTAACTGTTCGGTATGGGTAACTGTTCGGTATGGATAACTGTTCGGTATCGGTAACCGTTCGGTATGGATAACTGTTCGGTATGGATCACTGTTCGGTATCGATAACTGTTCGGTATGGATAACTGTTCGGTATTGATAACTGTTCGGTATGGGTAACTGTTCGGTAACTGTTCAGTATCGGTAACTGTTCGGTATGGATAACTGTTCGGTATGGATCACTGTTCGGTATGGGTAACTGTTCAGTATCGGTAACTGTTCGGTATGGGTAACTGTTCGGTATGGATCACTGTTCGGTATGGGTAACTGTTCGGTATGGATAACTGTTCGGTATCGGTAACTGTTCGGTATGGATAACTGTTCGGTATGGGTAACTGTTCGGTATAGATAACTGTTCGGTATCGGTAACTGTTCGGTATGGATAACTGTTCGGTATGGATCAGTGTTCGGTATCGATAACTGTTCGGTATGGATAACTGTTCGGTATTGGTAACCGTTCGGTAGGGATAACTGTTCGGTATGGATCACTGTTCGGTATCGATAACTGTTCGGTATGGATAACTGTTCGGATAACTGTTCGGATCACTGTTCGGTATCGTATCGGATAACTGTTCGGTATGGATAACTGTTCGGTATGGGTACTGTTCGGATCACTGTTCGGTATGGATCACTGTTCGGTATCGATAACTGTTCGTTATGGATAACTGTTCGGTATGGATCAGTGTTCGGTATCGATAACTGTTCGGTATGGATAACTGTTCGGTATAACTGTTCGGTAATCTGTTTGGGGTAACTGTTATGGATAATCGGTATCGGTAACTGTTCGGTATGGATAACTGTTCGGTGTCGGTAACTGTTCGGTATGGGTAACTGTTCGGTATCGGTAACTGTTCGGT